TAAATGTGACAGTATTTTTTCATCTTTTATAAATGTTTTGCACCAAAATCTACTTGATTTATCTTGCAAATGGAAAACTGCTGAAGGCAGAATGTATCTAAATGTCACCGGAAGGAAGCGAATGCAATAGGATTTTTCTTTTTAACTAGATTGATTATTATTTGCTGTTTATAAATCCAAAGATTAAATGCTTTGCAATCATGGAGCAAAGAAGACAGCCATTCTTTCTTCAACAAAAATATGAGCTGTAAAGGATATTTTAAACTTCTCAAAGTGTTACATACTGACAAGTACGTATTTGGCAGGTTTACATTTTGCTAACATTTGACCAAGAAGACCATAGCATTCCCCTTAGCCTGACTCAATTTTAGGCAGGTTTCTTCTTGACTAGAAGCTCCTGACCTCCATTTTCTCTGACCAATTACAAGAGACATTTTCTCAGGGCAAATTCTTTCTCTGCCCCTTTGTAATGTAGATAAATCTCCCAAACTCTTTCAATTTTGTGAGGTAGGGTGGTCTTTCTCAAAAGCCTGAACACCATCCTTTTGATATGTAGACATCAAGCAAGACAGGACCCCTATCAGGCAGTGTCTATGGGAAGGTAGGAGCCTAACTTCTCTAAGAGCCAGTTACACAGCTGGCCTAATCACACTGGTCAACCTCCCCTTCCCACACGTGTCCTCCAGTACTTTTTCACTAGCTCAGCCCAGCATTTAAAAACTCTCCTGAACGTTGTTTCAACAGAGTTAAGTTCATTTGTCTCCCCTATTGCAACGGTTTTGACCTTTATTGCAATCATCTGAATAACATCTTCCTTGCCATTCCTAACAAGTGCCCAGTGCAATTTCTCTTTGCCACATTTTAGTCAAGTTGTTTTGCACTGTCATCTTATTTATATAGCTGTGAATAACTTACAAAATCACATATTTTTAAAGAGTAAATTTGACCATATGGTAAACTGTGAGGATGATTTTTTTTTTCTTTCCTGGAATAGTGGGAATTCAGTCTATGGACACGTCCTCCTCAAGAACTGTTGCATTCATGCGTGTCCACATCAAAACTCTTGTTTCTCTCCTACGGTACTGGTCCCACCTACTCAGTGTACTCTGCGGGCTTCTCTTTCTTTACCGAATCCTTAAATAATGCTATTCCCAAAGGTTCTGTCCTATGTTCTTTCATAGTCTCACTTTTTATTTTCTTCCTGGGTGACATTACATATACTACAAATATTACCTACAAATATTCTAGTAAGTTTAACATCTTTATTGTTAAATTCAAGAGGATCTTTTCTTTTCTACTTTTACCTGACCTGTAAGCAGCAAATAAAACAGATAATAACCCCCCCTCCTTGGAATACTTTTTTTTTTTTTTTTTTTTAGTTCCTCTGTTACCATACTCTCCTGGTTTGCTCCTTGCAGATTATATTTTCTACTGTTTTTCGACCCCCAAACACTAATACTGGAGTATCTGGGTCTCAGTCTTTAGACTGATTCTTGTCTCCGTCCATGCTCTCTCTTTAAGGGATCTCATCACACTGCAACATTTTAAATATTACCTACAAGGCTAATAATCAAATGTATATCTCTAGAGAATAATAGAAAAATACTCTTCAAGAACTACTGTCTTCATGCTCTGTTCATTTATTCAGCTAGTTATTATCGGGAACCACAGTGCATGTTGTCAACAATATAAAAATAAACCCACTCATTGTTCACAACTATCTTGGAATCTAGAAAACACGTGAAACTAGAAATGACTCATTTCAAAAAAATATAAAATCTATTTAAACTATGGATAGAGAGGCAACAAAATATAATGGTAACATGCATGGATTCTGATGCCAGCACTTGGGATAAAATATCTCTCTGTCTTTACTTAGGAAATAATTTCCCTGGGCCTCAGTTTATTCACCTGAAAAATGAGGCACATGATATATTTCCCTCACTTTTTTTTTGAGAATTTTTGAGAATTGGTTTAATGTTTATAATGTTGCTAGAATCATGCCTGGGATGTTGTGAATATATATTGGTTTAAAACAGTTTGATTATGTGGCATGTGAGTTCAGTTTTGCAGTGTAGTTAAAATTCCAACAGGAATCGACAGGGGCATTTCAGGAAGAAGGGTTGATATGAACAAATTCTAGAAACTTTAATTTATATTTTGAAAGACAAGCAATTCAGAGTGTGAATAGGAAATAATGTGTGTGTGTGTGTGTGTGTGTGTGTGTGTGTGTATAAAAGCAAGATAGATACAACTGTGACCAAATCAAAGAGAGTGATAAATACCAGGCCATGAGTTTTGTACTTTTCTGTGCTGGTATTGGAAAATCCATTGAAGTTTTTGAGCAATGAAGTGAGAAAACCGCTGTAGGAAATGTCATCTGCTCTGCCCTTTGCTGTGAATTCATCTCTGCCTAATGCCCAAAGCCTCCTGTGATCATGGTATCACTGTCAGTGAGCAGAAAGTAGGAAAAAAAATTCTCATTCTCAAAAAAGGGAGTATTCCACAATATTACAAATGCACCAACCTCTGAATTCTTGCCTATGAGCCCGAATCTGTGAAAAGAATGAATGATCCACTGAGTCAGTAAAGATCTGAGTGGACTCTAAAGCAATCAATAGTGGAGGGAGCTAATTCCTACTAGAAATGTAGATTTCCATCTCTTCACATGATGCAAAAGTTGAAAAAGGTTATTATACACATGATTAATTAGAGTTGTTATAAATAACTTGAGGAGTTAGAATAAAAGCTCCAATGTGATCAACAGAGTTAGGTAGCAGCATCCTTAGAAGTGTTTAGGGCTAGGGCACTGGTCTCAAGTCTCTTATATAAATGTGTTGCTTCCCAAATCTTCTGCCCATCTCAGCCCAGAGAATAACACATCGAACATGCAATTTTATAGGGTAAGTGGACTTTACCGCCCAAGACATTTATAAAAATATGTGTAAATTAAGCCTATTTTTTTGTTTGGAAATAGGTTGTCTAACCCGGGGGGGAAGCACTCTGAATACAATCCACATTTATGCAAAGTGTATAAAATATTCAAATTTGACATATATAATTCTAATAATTATAATTATATGGTTTATATAATTATAATAATATATATTATAAATATGTAATATATATAATTATAATAATTATAAAATACAAGTCATCTTAAATATGTAATGTAATATGTAGAGATTTAATAAATTGTGAGATGAATTATTTCCAAAATTATTTTAATTTTAAGCTTATTATATTTGTTGATGTGTCAGATAGACAGATGTGTTTGAAAAGTTTGAGAACATCAGATACGTTAAATTTCAAGTATATCATCTATTTATAATTCCAAGTTCAAAGAAATGTTTAAAGCCAGTTTCTATAGGAGTCATGGGTAGCAGGTCATTTGCATTCTGTTTTTGTGATTCCTTTATACCATATTTTCTGTCCATAGGTTTCTACATTAATCTGGTTTTGGATCTAGGGGGCAGTGCCGCATGGTGGAGAGTCTCTGAAAGTTTTATATTAAGCTTTTACTTTATCAAAAACCTTGGGTCCTAACCAATTCAAATTAAGTCACTTAAGTTTAAATTCATTTGTATATTTATTATACTTTTATTATTATTTTAAACTTAGGAAATGCTTATAAGTAATATTTCAGAATTATTTCTGGAATACAATGTATTCTAAAATAAACACGGCCAAATGAATTTCACAAGACATTTTAAGAGCTACTAATCATTCCCATTATGTTACAGTTGAATATTCCATAACGATTCAGGTATACTTCATTCTTAAAATATGCCTATTTCTTACCATAGTAAGTCTTTGAAAATAAAGCAAAATGTTGGCTACTATTATTTATTGGTAGAAAATTAAAGGTTCCATTTTTGTAAAATCCAAATTGTCTTCAACTAGCTTCATTGATAAATTCACTTCTATTGAGAATAATTGATTTCACAGTAAATATGTATGTATTCCTATATATACATATATACATACGTACATACATTCAGTATTCTGAAAACTAGTTTATATATCTTTAAAAATGTTTTATGACATTTATTAAGCTTCTACGATTTCAAATGATACCTAAGAAAAATTTTATTGTACTGGACCTGAAAACAAAGAACAATCTACTTTAAGCTTTACATTT